CCTGGAGAAGACCTGGTGTCCCCGTGATGGGCTAACGCAGACGGAGGTGGGGAAAAGCCAATACGCGGGAGTGCTCGTTTGGCCCTTACGCTGCTGCTGCTCACTTGGGGAGTAGCTGCAGTGTCACTGTCCTCCCAATATCAGCTTAGTGATGGCAGCGTGGCAACACCAACAGCATCACTTCATTTACAAAAAAGAGGAAGGCTGAATGTTTTTGTAGTGTCTTAAAATCCCTTCAAATTCCTCTGGCCCGAGTACCTTTACAGAAGAGTGTTTCCTACCTTCTCTTACAGAAAGCATTTTGTTAATATTTGAGCAATGAAGAAAACACAGCAGCTGTTAGCATCATTTTCCCCTTGAGGCCGACTGTCCTCAGGTAAAACAAAACACAATTAAGGTACCAGCAAGGTCAGTGATATTAGACAATCCATATCCTCACAATGCAGATATTTCCTTCAATGTCTGTCACCAGCATCAAATCCCCAACCGCAGCAAGATAATTGGCAGCCTCCTTCCAGGGGGAAGACGAAACGGCTTGTGCTGTCACCAAAACCAGCCTGGATTTTGTTTGCGTAAGTGCCGGAGCCTGGGGGTGGTATCGCTCATCTAGCTATATTGCTGGAGAGTCATGTATCAAGGACAGGCTTCTGAGGCGGCTTCTGTCTCCCTCCTATTTACTGCTCCTTTAATTACAAACCAGATGTCGGGGGGAAGATTTAAAAGTCAACTTTATTTGAAATTCTGAAATATAAAAAACTTGACCACAACAATTTTTTTTGTGGTGGGGAGGGGAAACATGAAGGAGAGAAATGTTCTTTAATCCTTTGCTTATAGTTCTCTTCTATTTTATTTTTAACTCCTATTTTTTAAAGTTGCGGTTATTTTTCCTTTTATTAAGTGGCCAAAGGCATTTCTCTTTTTCCTTCTGCCCCCTCAGCCCCCAGAAGAGTTTTCAGGCTTTTCTCTGAGAACCAGACCTCACCCGAGACCTTTTCCCTCCCAGCCCAGATTGCTCTCATACATTCCTCTTGCTGTTTATGCCCCAAGACTGTTCAGAAACATCAAATGCAGCTGCCCGCTCGCTTAACGACGTTTTGTTTGGGGACCACATTACACCTCCCCTCCAGCGGCCGCGCAGGCTCCCAGGTGTCAGGCAAGGAGACAGCGCTGGCCCGCAGGCTCTGCTGGAGACGCGGCTGGCGCTCGGAGCCATGGGACTCCTACCTCGCAGCCAGAGATCACAGTCTGCAGGCGGTGCCTGGGCGTTGGGAGGGAGGAGGACGTGGATCAGGAGCTGCCGGTGCCGTGCTCTGGAGCCCTCCAGGCAATCAGACGGAGCATCCTCCAGAAGGCACCGGGAGCTCTCTGCTCCAACAAGGGAAAGTATCCGCAGGAACCTGAAGCCCGTCCTCGCTTTGGACGGTCCTCAAGAGGTTGATCCAGCCATCGAGTCCGATTGCTGGATCTTGATAAGGCTTGAATGGGTCTCCCAGGCTTATTTTAGCAGCACAGTTATGGACAAGGGTAGAAGTCCCTTCACATGAAACGGGAAGCTTCTGCCAACAGGGAGGCCGAGCAGCACCGTACCACTCTCGTTTCCACTCCCTACACACACCAGCATTCAACTCCAACCAGAAAGGAGGGAATGGTCCGAGGACGTAAGAGGAGGAACTGTGTCCTCTTGTTCTCACCCCTCCCTACCAGTTCCCCAGGAGTGCCCGTGTCCTTTCTGCTCACCAACTACCGCATTTTTCCACTAGAAGTTTGATTTTCTATTTACCATGCGATTAACCCTTTGGTTAATCTAAGTTCATCTAAGGATGACTCTCATACATGAGCAGCCAGTATGTTTGATCAAGTCTAACCTGATTTTATTAGACTGGAGGGAATGCAGCATATGGTCAGGAGCAATGGCATCGTTCAGGTTCTTGCTTAGGAAAGCCTCAACCTGAAATAAAGTTCCCCTGCTGTACGATGCGCAGATGGGCTTAAGAGCTGCACTCTCAGCTACGTGATGGGACTAATGGAATTTAATAAGTGAGTGGGAAAAAAATCCAGCAAATTTCCACAGGATTTGTGTGTGTGTGTGCACAAAATTGTTAAATATCCTTATAAATTATCTGAATTTTCTAATTATAAAATTTTGGGACGGAGTGAAAGCCGAAAGCAAGAAGACAAACCCATGTAACCGTTTGGAAAGCTCAGAAGCTGCGAGAGCCGGGTATAATGCCAGTCACCAGGGCTAAACTCACTTGTGAGTGTGGGGAGGGAGGAGAAATAATCTACAATGACCCTGTGAGTGGGAGCCAGGGCACTGGGAGCCAGCACCAGAGCAGGGGCAGCCTAGAGAAAACAATATGGTTATTGAGACAAATGAATCGCAAGGTGGCTGCAACAATTTCAATCCCAAGATAATTTTGCCAGTGTTTTTGTTACAGATCCGTGGGTACTGGCACATGCTAGGGCAAGACCTATGATGGGATGATGGGTTCTACAGTTTTGGGTCCCACCTCAGAAACTGATAATAACCTGGAGGCAAGCGGAGAAGGCTACAGGAAGGCTGCACAGCGAGCGCGCTGTGGAGCGTGGGGCAGACGAACTCACCAAATCACGGGGAAGAGCTGAGAAGTGCAGCAGAAGGAGCAGCGGGTGGGGAGGTGGCACAGCAATTCCACCTCTGCGACTTCAGGAGGGGAGACTCTAAGCTACCTCCCCCCAGTCTTCCCGTGACCCCTGGGCCATCCCAGACCCAGGACAGTGAGGGCCTGAGGAAACTCCCTAACGCAACTCCAGCCTGCAGCTTTTACTGGAAAAATGTTTGGAGTCTCAGTAAATGCACTCAGTGCGCCTGCTTTCCAGCTGGCACTTCACCTCCCACTGCACCTGCGTAGGAAAAGGCGTCGTTGGGTTCCTCTGCCCTTAGGACAGAAGCTGAGCTGGACATTCCTACCACTGACTGCTTTTGCACCACGACAAAAGCAAATGAAACAATACCGGGAACGTTGCCTTCAAGGGGAAACCGAAAGAAGTATTTACATATCGCTTGAAGGAGCAGTATAAAACAGTGGATCTGTAACCAGAGATCCAGTTACTCAGTGAGAAATGTAGCTGGGAAGTTCCAGTTACAAAGGTCAACCCAAAGGTTAGGCAAAAATCATGCAGCCAGTCAGCGGAGTGACCCAACTGCGCTGCAGCACGGCTCGTCGGTCCCAATTACAGCAGTTTGTACGAACAAAGGGTGATCTTTAGCCCGCAGCCTATAATCTAATCTAAAATTCAGTGCAACCATGAAAACGGAGAAAAATGGGTGAGGAGAGTAATATAAAACATGACTAAGACTTCGCTAAGCAAATATAACCAGAGTACTTACACAGACAAGCGGCTGAGCATTTGGAGCAGGTGGGCAAGTTCTGTTCTTGCATGAAGGTTTCAAATCTTTCTTGCCACTTCTGGGAAGCCCCTCGATCTAGCAGGGCCGGTTCTCCCTTTCTCCCGGTGCCCTCTAATTTATCCTGCTAGGGTGAGTCCGACCGCGCTACCGTGGCAAGGGATGTCTGTCCCTGGGCAAGGGATGGAGTAGGGCTTTAGCGTGTTCATTTTCAACCGCACGCCATCTTGTGTATACTGCGAGCAGTAGGTCTGCGGGCAGGAGAGCGCCGTCCTGCCTCCAAAACCGGGCTCGGGTGAATAAACGAGTGATCAAGCGGGCGATGCTGGTAACGCGCGGCGGGGTCGGCGGGGCTGCTGGCGGCCCGCTGCGGGTGCGCTCCATCCCCCGCGCCAACAGCGGCGTTCCTAAAAAGGCGCTTAGTGGTTTGGCAGCCAGAACTACTGCCTCGCTTCGGGGACGCGCAAGCTGCCGCCAGGCTAGTGCCCCCCAAACGGGCCGGGAGCCGCATCGGGGCGCGGTGCGTGGGGAGGTTGCGGCGCTTCTGCAGTTTGTTGCACCGCAACTCGGTCTTGCCTCCCCCGGGCTGCCCGCCCGTGGGTGAAACTGCCAGGGGACCCCGGCCGCCGCCGCTCCACAGCTCGGCGATTTAGCGCTTCGAGCGGCGGTGGCAATTCTGCTCTTGCACTGGGAGCTCACCTGAACGCAGCATCTTTCTGGCTGCTTGGGGGAAAACTCCTGAAGCGGCGGTGCCGGAGGACGGAGCGGGCTCCCAGCTCTCGCCCCCTCCAGAGGACAGCCACGCAGGCCGGCCCGGCGCCAGCGCCGGAGGACGCCTGCCGACACAAACGCCCGCGGCAGACGCTGCTGCCGGGA